CTCTCTCTCTCTCTCTCTCTCTCTCTCTCGGTACTTGCTATTAATTTTCTATTTGTTCATTTCATTTACTTTTTTCACTTCTATTATAAGCTATCAATTAATGTCAACAACACATTGCAGTCAATTGTGTCGGAGTTCCCAAACAAATATGAGACCATTTTATGAGACAATTGATTGCTAAACACTTCACACTTATTATTAATATATATACAAATGATACGACTATTTATTTGTACTTTCTTTTAGTAATCAGAGGTTTTGTAACATTATATACAAAATGAATTGTTTTGAAACAATAATAATATTAAAATTAATGATCAAAACTAAGTGAGTTACAAAAACTCATTAAAATTTTCCCTTCAATTCTCAAAAATTAGATTTAATTTAAACAATAAATTTCATTAAGAGATAAGAGTTGATAAATAGAGACGATTACAGAAAATATTTTGTTTTACTTTTTACAGCATATAAAAGGGCGAACACTAGACGTAAATCTAGAATTAAGGCTAAGTCTTATCGTGTGTTTGATTTATACGTCAAACGTTAGCCAACTTTTCATTAATTCACAGATTTTTCACTTTTATAAAGAGTTTTAGTTAATCTTAACGTCTTATATAAATGGATGCAAAATCTTATTCACGACTCATTAGATATATTTGAGCACATTTTAATGATTACAACTAATAATTCTGTCTTTCATTGCATATTCAGTAAATAATGTTATTTAGATTATTTATTTTTGAAATCTACCGTAATTTAAGTGAAATAACTTAAATATTAGAAAGTATGCAAATATCTTTTCATAACTTTATATCTGTTGCCAAATACTCTGAAATAACATCTATATTGAAATGTACTGTATATTAATTTAAGTAAATGTGAGAAAAACAAACACAAAATATATGAAAAACATAAATCTTATGATAAAACACATTAAATATAGTGTTAGAGCAAAGAATAGAGTACTGAAGTGCAAAAGCATTGCATTTGTGTTTCATTTGACTGAGCCTTAAGTCCCAAACGTATAGTTTTTTCACTTTTGCTTTCAACACAACATTCACTGAATTCTGTCTTTATTTCCAAATAAATATTTGCCAAAAAAATCCCGAAACGAAACGATTCCTATCTTTCATCTAAATATACTTTTCCTGTAAAGCATTTTAATACAAATATATAACATTTCTGTCGTATTTGAACACAAAATACAGTCAAACCTGGAAGTGATGGTTTGGTTTCACGGAGGCCTTCTTCAGTACGGGTCCGGACATATGGATCACTTGAGACCCAATGGAAAGCTATCGCGAGACTCCAACTTTGTGTTCGTGTCGTTCAACTATCGACTACAAGCCATGGGTTTCCTGGCATTGGATCTGTTGGCCAATTCGGGCGCCAACTCTTCATTCGGTAATTACGGTCTCTGGGACTCAATGGTAGTGTTGGAGTGGATTCAGCGCAATATCCACGCGTTTGGCGGCGATCCCAGACGTGTCACACTGTTTGGCAGTGACGGCGGGTCCGCAATGATTATGGCTTTGATGACAAATCCCGACTCGAGATCACTGTTCCGGTCGGTGTGGCTCATAGACCCGGCCCTGTATTTCAACCGTACGTTCGCCGAGGCGTCCAATTATAACCACAATAACTTCCTGTCGCGAACCGATTGCCATAACATCGACTGTCTGTACAAACTGTCGGCTGAATCGGTGCTGAAGGCCTTCATCGGTGACGACGACCCGTCGTTTATTATTAAAGATCAAAACGATTTACCGATTCAGGGAATGCTTAACAAACAGCTTATTGTTATCGACGGTTAGTATTGAATAAAACATTTTCTAAAATATTTTCTGTGTTATTATTGTCGCTGTTATTCACATATGGAGTAATATTTGTTCAATATTTTTATTAAATTTACATTTCATCCGAAATACTAATAGAATTTCAATTCCAAAGCAAATAAATTTTTATATAAAAACATGATTTAGTAATCATTTTAAACGTATTGACAAAAGAATGGTTTATATAAAGAATTCAAATTATTTTTAAGTCTTTTTATGGTTTACTTATTTTCTAATTTTGTTTATTTTTCTGCTTTTTATACTTCAAAGAAGTGCTGCAAAAGAGTTTGAATTTCGTTTCTCTAAATTTCTAAACTCTCCATAAATTTATGCAAAAATTCTTATTTAAACAAAACATAAAATAATCCCAAATTATAGGATAAAAATAATTGCATTGAACTAAAACTTTTTTGCTGTAATTTAGACGTAAAGCAATCACTTATATAACGAAATGCAATAAACGTTAAAAATATGGGACAAAATATAAATGAAAAATTCTTTGAGAGAAAATATATAACTTATTTTAGAGTCAATAATATTATTAGACAAACATCTGTGACATAATATATTTTGTTAAATATTTCATTGTTTTCATGCCATATATTGGCGACGACTTATGTTTTATTGACAGATGAATTAGTGACGGCTCCGATACCATTCCCAGCCGACACATCTGTCGACATACCAGTGCTGGTGGGCTCAGCAGTTCAGGCGACTGAGTACTGGCCCGGACCTAAAGACTTGTGGCGGTGGACGTGGAGTGACTATAACAAGTACGTCACCACATCTCTGGACTCGTTTGGGCCCCGACTCACACAACTGGCTCTACAACAGTACCCGCCGTCGCCGACCATTGCACCCGCCCTACAGTACCTAACAATGGTGACAGACCTGCGCCAGACGTGTCCCGTCAATCTCATAGCCGCTAATCTGTCGGCGCTGTTAGTGTCGCCCGTATATCGATATCTGGTCACATCAAAGCCCTCCCAACCCATCACTATGTTTGACATCAAATCCAATAATTCGCTTCATTTTTGGGATTTGATGGCATTTTTTGGTACAATCGATAAATTCATTAAAAAGCCCACAGAATTGGATCAACGGTTTGCCGAACAGATCCGCGATATTGTGTTCAACTTTGTGAGAGACGGCAGACCCGACTCTATCATACCGTTGCCATCCAAATGGGATCAATCATTTCCCCATCAAATGGCGATCATTGACTCAAACGATACGATTGTTGTCAATAACTATGTGATCAGTGATAGGTGTGAGTTCTGGGACACACAGGGATTAACTAAATACGCGTGGATTAGTTAAACATCACTCATCGTCATGTGCTCTTTCATACAAATTATTTATTTATTTTTTTTTTGGTTATAAATTATGTATAAATAGTATACTTTTAGTTTAATTATATATTGTTTTTGTTTCAAATGTAAATAACATATAATTTATTTAAATGAAAAATTATAAAATATTATGATTTGATTTGATTATAAACTTATATAAAAATGTAATTATATTTATAATATAAATTGCATTAATATTATAGCAATTAGTGCTGTAGTGTTGCGTTTAATTGTACATGTTCAAATTATAATACATTTTTATACATTATATAATACAGATATCATTTATATTACAAATAAATTGTATGACTTTTGTTTAAAATAAAAAGTATTAGAAATAAACTTACCATATGTTTAATTTTACAGTAATTTTAAGTGATTGTAATTTGTAAATATATAATATCTTATTTGAAAATTAAATAAAAAGATTTGATTTATAGTATTTTCTAAATACAGTATTGATTATTGATTACAAGCGCATAAAATCTAATCACTTATAAGTTATAAAATATTCTGAAACATAATTTGTCAGAAATGCAAAAATATGGATAAATTATCACTTTTGTTGTGAATGAAAATTACAAAAGTATTGATAATTCTGAAGACATAACGAGAGGATAGTTCCCAATGAGAGACGCGTTGAAATGATAATCAATTATTTGTCACAATTTTGTGCAAATCAATTGAATGTATGAAATGATAAGCAATTACTTATTGAATTGAAACCAACAAATGAATAGACATATTATTGATGGCAAACAAAGAAAAAATATTGGTTTTCCTATATTTATATACCGAATAATATGAGAAGAATTTTGTATAAAGAAATGTTAAATAAAAGTGAGATTAAGTCCACACAAAAAGCCCTTATTTCGGGTCCACATATGGTGTGGAATAAAGTTAGAGTTAATCAATGCTTTTCTCATTAGCAATAAACTCACAATACATACGAAAAACTAATACAAAACGCATAATAATTGAATGATAAGAACAATAATGTTATTCTCATTCATTCAATAACTCTCTCCCACTTCTCACATACTTTGTTATATGGTACTTTTTTTTGTATGGAAACCGTATTTCCTATTCACTTAATGTCTAAAAACCTGTAAACTAAGCAAAAGGGAGACCTTTTTTGTTGGCAAAACAAAATCTAATTTATCTAAAATTCACAATTTTTTAAACGATAGCATTTTATGGCCTAATTTATATGTAAGTTATGTTATGTGTATTTGTTACCGCTTTTATAGAGTAATTTAATTGTAATTTTTAGTGCATTACTTACAAAATAGATACTAAAAAGTGAAATAATTTTACATATTCTGGTATTTTTGTCAAAAAAGCGATCGATTTTTTAATTTAAACCAATTTTTAAAAAGAAAGAAAAGGAAAAATTTGTTGGAAACGACAACAACTCTATAACACAACTGACAGTAAATCAATAAATTTGTTGTTTTGTCGATGAAAATCAAAATTCAAATCCCATTCTGTCTTATTATTAGTTGCTATCATTGTATTGAAAATATCTACAAAAACACAAACTTTTTATGTTTTTATTATTTTGTGGCAAATTTATAACATTAAGCAAAAACAAAAATCTCGAATTTCTTATAGAATTGCTTATTGAATAAGTTATTGTTAACAACTATACGATCTGCATATGAATTGAATTGATCATGATGTTTGTTAAAAAACACAAATTTCATTTTATTTCTCCCAAAATAGATTTATTTGATTTTTTATAGCCTTTCTTCTCATTTATTGTGAATACATTTGCAAAACTCATTTGCATTACAAGTGCTGTTGAATACAAACAGTGGGAACATATTGTTTGCATTTAACAACTCTTTGTTGTCGTTTATTTCATTCAATTATATCCAGTCTTTGAGAAATTTTATATAAGATTTTACTTTATTTTATTGAATTTGGCAATAATTTTCAGACCATTTAATCAAAATTCAATTTATTTCCATACTTTATACTCATTTTATTGAGCAAAACAAGACTTGAGGAATAAACTTATATAATCCATAACTCTTGGGATAATAAAATATTATTAAATAAATTTAAAGTAAAATATTATTAATTTATTTAATTCACAATTAAGAGTAACTTTGATATGGTAAAATATAAGTATTTAATGTTTAGAGATGTATTAACATTAAACATTAAATTTTTATTTAGATTTTAAATCTTTTAATATTTTACAGTTATATTAAGTGTCAATTAAATGAGATAAGAGTTAAACAGAAATAGTTTTCTATGGTTTTCCTGTTTTCCAAAGGAAATGATAACAAATATATTTTATTATAACGATTATATAACATATCTATTTATGGCACAAAACATGCTGTATATTGCAGTCCAATGTATAATATAACTACTTTCTACTGTATTTTGTTTAGACTACTGTATTAATAAAATTGAATATTTCAGTGTAAATTCTCCAAAAAAATTATGTATAGAATTTAGCGTAACTTTAAATATAAGTATATATTTAAATTTATTATCATTAAATGAATTCTATAATTAATGTTATGGTTAAATATAAAAAAAATTATATTTATTAATTAACTACAATGTATTAATACATGTCATGAATTAATACAGCGGTATTTTTTAATTTAATATTGTTATTTATTTACCCTGTTACTATATTCTGTATTTCTTTGTTTTCGTTAATAACAATGTGAAATAAGTGTAATACATACATTGAAATCCTGATTGATTGACATTACGATTAATAATTGTATGAATAATAATAACTAATCAATATTTTTAATGTTAGCACAAAAACAAGTATTAAAAGATAAAAAGACTATTTAATCAATTTCTTTGAACCGATACACAGGTATTGAATAAACACTTATTACATGAATGACAAGTACTGCTGAAGTTAGCAAATAATAACTAAACATAACGCCATTTAATGAACACTTATATTAAATATGTTTTGCAGAGAAATTTATAACAATATCTAAATTTACAAAATATATTATTTCACATTTACATCCCTTTTAGTGATTACTTGACTTACTTAACGTTATGCTAACAAAGATTATGTAAACATCGATATGAAGTTTATTATATAATAATATACATTATTGTTATTTCTATTATTAATAATTTGATAATTAATTATAAAATATTTTTGTGTTTATTCAGGTTTGGATGAAAATTATTTTAATATGTAATAATTCTTTATATTAATTTTTATTACAATTATTAAAAATTATATGAATTTTGTCGCCAATTGTTTGCATAAATATTCCACTAAAATATTTACCATCAAATGTTTTTGTGAAATCTAAGAAATCTAATATATATCAAAATAATGGACATAAAGAGTAATAAAGTGTTTCTGTATTTTATATTATCTTATATTTGGATAATCAGTGGGAAAGAGATATCGAGAATGAGCTCCGATTGCGACCATTGTTTGCCATTAGAGCAGAAAATTAATGATTCAAAATGTTTGAGTAAGTGATCCGTTATATTGTTATATGAAATCTCTTCATATTATTAT